TTGCTATTTCAAATAAAATTAGGGTTCAATTAGAAGAGGGAATGGAAGAATAGATATTGGATCTCTGCAAGTTGGCCCTTCCCTACCTCCAGAAGGCTTACAGCTTTAGAATTATACAGAGCTCTTTATATTGGCCCTTGGCTTTCTTCTCTGTTTATTTATGGGAGTAACTTGAGCTTCTTTAAACTTTACCAAACTCTGATTATTTGATTTCATGTTTGCTGTCTATTTGTTGGGTTTCCAAGATGTAATTACATTTAATTTTAGGAACTGTGAGTAGTAAGAACCCCCTAACCTGACAATTGTCCTATTTTTAGATATAATTTAAGTTCTATCCCAAATACTCCTGACTCTGTACGTGTGTGTGTGTGTGTGTGTGTGTGTACATGTGAACTTGTGTCCACCACATCACAACAAGGGCCAAAGAGAGAAGGAAGAATCCCCATCCTCTTCTTCCTTTTTTCCAAGGCTATGTCCTTAGCTGGTCATGCACCCCAACAGATAACCCAGGTCACAAGGAAAGTTGAGCATGTGTCCTGCCCATGAACTCCAGCAAAAGCAGTGGATGGGGCTGTGCTGGGCTCCCTTGGCCTCACACTAGGGTGTAAAGCAAAGAATACTGCCCAGAGGAAGGGGCCTCTCTTTCTAACTTGCACAAAACTTTGTTGCGAAACTTGTACGCCTGTGAGCTGCCTATGCCCAGAGGAAGTGCCTTTCCTACTCTATCCACCCTGAAGATTTTTTTGGGGGGGGCGGGGGAGTACTGGAAATTGAACTCAGTTGTGCTTAACCACTGAACCACATGCTCAGCCTTTTTTAAAAAAATTATTTATTTATTCTAAGACATGCTCAGCCTTTTTAATTAATTTATTGATTTCTAATATTTTGAGACAGGGTTTGCTAAGTTACTTAGGGTGCTGAGGCTGGCCTCAAACTTTCTATCCTCCTGCTTTAGCTTCCTGAGTCACTGGGATTACCACAATACCTGACAGTTTTTTTTTTTTTTTTTAATGCACACAAAGGTTCCCAGTAGACTGCGCACAGCTATCTGTCCTGCACAGAGATCAGTAGTGAATTCCTCCACTTGTTCTGAGAGCCACTGACCTTCCAGTCACCATTGCTTTTTTCTTTCTTCCAACCAATTTCAGACTACTGAATGAAAGCAAGCAGAAAGCAGACACCTTCTATTCTTCAGTTCAGACCCACCCATTTGGTTAGGAAGCCATTTCCCTGGACCTGCTGCCAAGAGATGGAACCCACCTCACCTGGAATAGATCCTGAACTCCCCTATGGAACCTTCTAGAATATCCCAGTTCACTGCTCATTTACAAATTGCCTCTGTAGATGTCTGACCTCTGGCTTCCTCATTTTAGAAAGTAGCATTTTCTTGTGATAGAAGAGATGTTTCTGGAAGAGGGAATGCACATTCCCCCTACTCCAGGAATTCCTGTGGGGGTCCTTGACATACTTGATAGAAAAGAATTTCAACAGTGGAGGCTCAGAGATTTATTTAGGAAAGCAAGGAATATATATTCTTCTTCTTCTTTTTTTTTTAGAGAGAGAGAGAGAGAGAGAGAGAGAGAGAATTTTTTAATATTTATTTTTCAGTTATTGGCAGACACAACATCTTTGTATGTGGTGTTGAGGATCGAACCCGGACTGCACGCATTTCAGGTGAGCATGCTACCACTTGAGCCACATCCCCAGCCCAGGAATATATATTCGAGGGAGAGTATGAACTATCTTGAGAGTGAAAGATGAATTTTGGGGGGATTCCGACTCTTTTAAAGAAAACTTGGTAGGTATGGGAAGACATGTAAAGATGACATCAGGTTGATTCTTAGGTTGACATGGTCCTTATTATCTGATCAATGGAGAATACTGGAAAGTCCCCTAAATTACAGATTTCTTAAAATATTGCATTTCTCTTTGCTTCATCTATTGACTGGTGGCCTAATTAACAATGAAGAACATCATTGTTGTAAGTGAGTGAATTTACAGTAACACTAAGATTTACAAATTTTCCAGAGTTACAGGAGCAGCAGATCTGGGAGGGAGACTGGCTTGGGGAGTGACAGTTCTGAAAAAGTATGTAGAACTTTAAATTAAAATTAGATTTCCTTGTTCTTCTTTTATGTCTCCCTCTCACCTTTTTGTTTGTTTGCTTTTAATTTCTCTTGCTTTATTTTAATGCAGACACCAAATTGGGAAGAGCTATTTGTGGAGCCCCACATGTGAATAGTTCACACCTCTGGGTTCAATCCCAGCATCCTGAAAGGCTGTGGCAGGAGGGTCACAAATTCCAGGGGATCCTGGGTAATTTAGTGAGACCATGTCTCAAAATAAAATTTAAGGTGGGTGTAGTGGTGCATGCCTGTAATCCTAGCTCCAGCAATGTAGAGAAGCCCTAAGCAACTGAGCAAGACCCTGTCTCAAAATAAAAAATAAAAAGGGCCGAGGATGAGGCTCAATGGTTAAGTGCCCCTGATTTCAATCTCTGATGAAAGAAAAGAAAAGAAAGAAAGAAAGAAAGAAAGGAAAGAAGGAAGGAAGGAAGAAAGGAAGAAAGAGAAAGAAAGAAAGAAGAAAGCAGGGGCAGCGTTGGAGCAGAACAGAGTGAACATAATGTAAGCTATGGATTCTGGGTAATAATGATGTCAGTGTAGGTCCATCAATTGTAACAAATACATTACTCTGGTGGGGGAAGGCTCTGCGTGTGGTGGGGGCAGGAATACATGGGATATCTCTGTGCCTCCTATTTGGCTAGGAACCTAATACTGCTGTACAATAATAATCTCCTAAGAAAAAGAAGGGAGTGTTGAGATAGCTCGGTAGAAGAGCTCTTGCTAGCATGTGGGAGGCCTTGATTCTATCCCTAACACCACAACACACACACACACACACACACACACACACACACACACACACACACACACTTTAGAAAGGAAACACCTTAGGTAAAGAAGACCAAGGAATTGAGCCCTGCCTTCTGTACTGAGAGTCATCAGAGCCCCCAGAGGCCCCTCCAGGGGATGTCCAAGGGTTTACTGAACATGGTTTGCAAAAGTGGTGGGCAGCAGAAAGAACCCAGACTTGGAACTGGGTGACAGTTTGGAGTCTGAGCCAAGAGAAACAACCCATTCTCTGCTGTCAGCCTCATGCTGACGCCCACAGAAACAGGACAAGCCACTGCAAGCCACTGCAGGTGGCTTACTAGATTACTCTAGTATCGCCTCCTCATTCCTCTGAATGTCCTGTTTCAGCAGCTCCTGTGTCTTCTTTTTTGGCTGCACATCTTGATAAACTCTGCCAGACATAACTGATGGCCTCAGACTCATCATCTTTTTCTCCCTCGGGATCTCAATTTTGTCTGTGGTGTCATTGTGCCTACTTAGATATAATTTCCCAGAGTCCCCTGCATCCGGAAGTGGCCACATGACTGTTTGGCTAATGAATCTGCTTGATAGAGCTTTCAGGGAGACAACTGCTTTTCTGGTTAAGAAATAGAAGAGGGGCTGGGGATGTGGCTCAAGCGGTAGCGCGCTGGCCTGGCATGCGTGCGGCCCGGGTTCGATCCTCAGCACCACATACAAAACAAAGAAGTTGTGTCCGCCGAGAACTAAAAAATAAATATTAAAATTCTCTCTCTCTCTCTAAAAAAAAAAAAAAAAAAGAAAAGAAATAGAAGAAAAAAAGCCAGGTGTGGTGGTGCACGTCTGTAATGACAGCAGCTAAGCAACTCAGTGTGACCCTGTCTCTAATAAAATACAAAGTTGGGCTGGGGATGTGGCTCAGTGGTTGAGTGCCCCTGAGTTCAATCCCTAGTACCCCCCCCCCAAAAAAAAAATAGAAGAGAAAGAAAACAAAGAAATAGATTCATCTGGAACACATCTTTTGTTTTCCCTCCTCCTTTTTGCCTGGAATGAGAGGCCTGAAGGTGGAGAATAAAGATAGTTGTGAAGACGTCAAGCAAGAGCCTGGATCCTTGGTGACTCTTCCATTTTTTTGGAAGGGGTACAGGGGATCGAACTCAGGGGCACTTAATCACTGAGGCACATCCCCAGACCTATTTTGTATTTTATTTAGAGACAGGTCTCACTGAGTTGCTTAGCGCCTGGCTGTTGCTGAGGATGGCTTTGAACTAGTGATCCTCCTGTCTCAGCCTCCTGAGCTGCTGGGACTTGGTGACTCTTTTAAGCAGCTCTATCAGCCCTGGCCTGCCTACCCTAGTCTTCATGATACATGAAACAATTAAATGCCTTTTTGGTTACATTGTTGTATTGGGTTTTTGTTACTCAGAAGCTAAATATAAGGTTATAAGGTTAAGTAGCACAACTTTTCTCCATGTAGCTGGGTCAACAGAGTCTGATCTGCTCTCGCTCTTCAAGCTGCTTCCCCAGATTGCTTCCCAGACACAAAATCCATACATATATGCAAAAGATGCCCATGTTAGCCCCAGGTCTCTTCTCACATAGGAGAATTGGACAATGTATCTTTGAGTTCCAGTTTCCTTTTCTGTAAAATGGGAATTTTTTTTGCATAATGTGTAAAAAACCCTAAACCCATTAGCAGTTCTATTACCAGAATTCCTATTTCTCTTCAGTCCCCTCCTCTTCTCCAGTATTGGGGATTGAACCCAGGGCTTTGCCCATGCTAGAGTAGTTACTCTCTCCCTGAGCTACATCCCTAACCCCTTTAAAAAAAATTATTTTAAAACAGGATCTTGATAAATCACCGAGGCTGGCCTTAAATTTTCAATCTTCCTGCCTCATTCACCCAAGCTATGATTACAGGTTTGTGCTACCACTGCACCTGATTCCTCATTATTTTTAGGGTCTTCCCAAAGCAAATTGGAAAGCTCTGCATCTCATCTTGCCTTGGGAGGATGTCAGGCCCAGAATGTCTTTGTCCTTGATCTTTATATTCTTAATTTAAGAAAAAGGACTAAGCAGGGCATGGAGGGAGATACCAAGTTTGAGACCAGCCTGGGGGAATTCAGCCAGAATTTTTTCTCAAAAGAAAATATAAAAAGGGGCTGGGGATATAGTTGAATGGTAGAGTGCCCCTGGACTGGAGTGTTCTTACTTAGAACTAGGATAGGTGGGAGGAACCCAGTTGAGCAACATTAGAGACAGCATTCTGCCCAACCAGAAGAGTCAGATGAACATCCCAGCAATCTCTTTCCAGGTGGACACTGTCCTCCTTGGGGAGCTAGATGGAGTTGGGGTCAAGGAACTATCAACACCGTCCTGCTCATCCTGCCCATGATGATGGAAAAGGAAAGTCCAAGAAGAAGTTGGGTCTGAGCTGGAGTCTGCAAAAGGGTAAGGGAACAGTCATTTGGCCTTTTCTACTCACTTCCTTAAAGCAATATTATTTTAGTAATCTCTCCTTTGACCTTGCCCCTTTCTAACCTCCCAGGGTATTTCCATAGTTCCAGAATTTGGCCTTGGCTCTGAGAAAACTTCCCTATTATTGGTCTTTGTTTATTCTGTCATTTTCTGAAGATATACTTTTGGTAGTTTTTTGCCTAATGTCAGTCCTTCCTCTTGATTCCTTGTGTGTCTTAATTCTTTTTTTAATTATTATTTTTTTAATTAAAAAAAAATCTTGAGATACGGTTTTGCTAAATTACTTGAATTTGTAATCCTCCTGCCTCAGCCTCCTCTGTTGCTGGGGATTATAGAAGTATACCACTGCAGGATGTTTGCTGCTTATTTCTATCTGGTGCTCACTCCTTGGAATCTGATCTTTCTCAGAAGGCTTTATGAAGTCAACTTTGATGGTGACATTTTCCTACTCTGGAATTCATACCATAGCACAAGTTGCTATGGTTTTTGTGACCACTGGGAAACTGGCATGTGTTTGCATTAATTAAGACTCAGTCCTTGCCCAAGTCTTTAGATTCCTTAAAGCAGGGACTGCCCTGTACTCAGACCTGCCCTTGACACATTGTACTTGCTCACTAATTATTCACTGAATTCAGCTGGAGTTCCAATTTAGGAAGATGTGTGTGTGTGTGTGTGTGTGTTTGAAAGAGATATATAATCTCAAACACACAATAATGTATAAGGAATACACAATACTTTTAAATAAAGTGGAGGTAATTCTCCTTGAGAAATTCCTTTCTTGAGACTGGGGTTGTGGCTCAGTGGTAGAGCGCTCGCCTGGCATGTGCGAGGTCCTGGGTTTGATCCTTAGCACCACATAAAAGTAAATAAAATAAAGGTATTGTGTTCAACTACAACTAAAAAAATAAATATTAAAAAAAAGAAATGCCTTTCTTATACCTATTTTGCCACATAGGTATAGGCTTGGGAACAAAAAGTATGGCTAAAACCCATTTGCTGAAAGAACTCTTTTCTTCAGAAGAAATATAAGCAGTACTATCACCTTTCATCACCTATAATAATAAGGAAATTCTGAATAACTATTTCCTGGGGACTCGCTGAGTCAGAGGTTCATACCTGATTAGGCAGGTAGAGGGTGTAACCAGTGATGACTCTTCTTTCAGGCTCGAACCCAGCATCGGCTATTTACATATTAGTGATGCAAGTCTCCATATGCAGAGTCCTTGATATTGTTCAAAATGTTTTCAAACACAAGCCCAAATGGGAGTGGGCCAGGTTTGCTGTCTACAAGAGAAGCTCAACAGAACACATTCATGAAGAGGATCCCTCAATTCTCACACTTGAAAAGAGTTGGCTTTCTTCAGAGTGAGAACACAGTGAGAAGAAGTAGAACTTCCCTCTCCCAATGGCCTCAGCATGAAGATGTCCAGCAGCTAACTGGATAGGAGACTCAGATTAGGAAAGAGGATGGGTTGGAGAATAGATTTCAGAATCATTGCATATAAATGGGAATTAAACATTGGCAGTTGTGAGATCATCCTGAGAGGGTGTGGAGGAAGACGTGACCCCTGAAGGAACCAGTAAGGCAAGGCTGGGGAGGTTAAGAAGAGGTTGGAGAGGAAGTCAAAGGAAGCTATAGGAGTCAAGATTTCAGAGAGAGAGAGAAAGAGAGAGAGGGAGAGAGAAGTCCTGATGGATGCAGTTTCTCCTGTACAATAAAAACCACAAAGTGCCCATTGGATTTGGAGTGGAGCAAAGAATAAAAGTAGAGACAGAAGGTGGAGTTTAATGGTGTCAGAGAGAAATGAGAAGTAAGGAGAACATGGTGGTCACGAAGATACACTGCTTAGATCCTTCTCAAGGATTGAGAATGTTGCCCAGCTATGGGGATAGCAGTCAGCAGACAGCCTCCAGCCACCAGCTCCTTCAGGTTCTCTGCTGCAAAGTTGCCTGGCCCTCCTCACACACTCTATCTGGGCAACCCATGAGGGGCCTAAGCAAGGCCAGGTGCTTGGCTCTTTTGGCCCATTTGGGTTTGTTCTGATGGGTGACACTCCTCAAAGTTCTCTTAAGAGTAATGGAAGATTTGGCTGGGCCTGCTGCTCAATTTAACTTCTCCCTCTGCCTGGTCCTTCTTCCTTGTTATGACTTCCAAGGTGTTGATTTCTAATCAGCATCTTGCATCCCCAACTCTCAGTCTGCCTTCAGAACCCAATCTCTGACAGGGAATGGTGGAAACAAGTCTTTTGAAAAAGTTGAAAAGTTTGATTCAGCTGGGTGCAATGGCACATGCCTATTATCCCAGGGGAAGCAAAGACAGGAGGATTGCAATTTCAAGACCAGTCTCAGCAACTTAATGAGGTCCTAAGCAATTTACAGGCTCAAAATAAAACAAATTTTAAAAAGGACTGGGGATATGGCTCAGTGGTAAAGTGTCCCTGGCTTCAATTCTCAGTACCCTTCCCTCCAAAAAAAAAAAGAGTTGATTCAGAAGTGGGTGTGGGAAAGAAAGTTATTAAAAAAAAAAAAAGAGTAGGGCCATTACAGAGGACTGCTTGAAGATGCTGGAAAGAGAGCAGTTAATGATGGGGTAATGTCTTGAGGAGGAGGGGAAGAATGAACTTTAGGGCCCAGGAAGAGTGATTGATATAGAACAGGAAATTGTTTCCCATTGTCTGAGATTAGGCTGAAGATGTATTTATGGGGGTGAGTTTCCACTGGTCTTGAGAGGTGGCTGGGGAGTGAGGAACACCTGCCTAATCACTTCAGTTCCAGCACTGGGTGAGGACCAATCACTGGAGAGGTAAAAGGAGGAATCTTTGATATTATGGTGGGAAAGATGCTCTTCGCCCACCATGGGTAGGATTTGGGAGAAATTGTAGCACAGGTGACAACTGAGGAGAAACCCTAGGCAAAACTTATAAAATAAGAGCATGGGGCCTGAAGTAGAGAGGAAAGACTCACTTCATCATATTACTATCTATTTGGTCTGTTGAGGACCATTTTGTGTACTGATTCTAGAATCCAGTGGATTTTCTATTTCTTTAAATTCTTCCATATATATATATATTCTATATAATGCCCAAGATGTGTTAAAAACATTGAACAGGACAGAATTGAGGTGAGAATCTTCTGGCACCTGGGATACTGTCATTTAACCAATTCCAATGTCTTCTAACCTATTCCATTTCTCCATCTGCTCCAGAAGAATATAATTTTGGATGTTATGAAAGACTTTAGCAAAAGACAGCCCCTCGGTCTACTACTATACTGCCTCCTCCTTTAGTGACTCTGACAAGAAGACAGAACAAGCTGGTGTGACCTACCCTTTCCTTATCTGCCAGGGCCCCCTGGTGGCCACACTTAGTTCTCAGTATACATAAAACACCTTTTTAATCTCATTTGAGGGTTTTTTCCTAAAGTCATTGTCAAGGTCATTGATCAGTCATTTTTGACATTGATCTGTTTTCCATGTTTGGAAGTCAGAGCTTCACTATCTCCAGCTTTCAAACACCTCTCTGCTTCTCTGTGGTTCCTTGAAGGTTCTGATTGGTAATATTCTTGGTTAATCTTGGTTTTGGTACTCTGGGGTGTCGGACCAGCCAGTTTGAACACATTTAGAGCAATTAAAGTTTCTCTTATGTTCTGTTTTGGGCTCCTATTCCCTCTTACCAATGACCATTCTGCCCTTTTCTGGTCAATGCCATCTTTCCTACTGAGAAGCCAGAGTCATGTAAAGGATTCTGCTCTCCCTCTGCCACCTGGAAGAAGTCACCACTGGCCATGAGCACGGGACCCATCCCTCGCTTACTCACTTGTTCTTCTTTTCCCTTTTATCATAACCAGTTTCTCTTGTACCAAAACTAAACTCCTTTACCTTGACCCCTGCAGGGATCCAGACACATCGAGGTTAAGGTCTTGGTATTCCTTATGAATCGAGTGACATGTTCTAATAGAAACAGGGTGAAATAAAGAGGGGGAAGGACACATGCACGCTTTCTTTAGTTACAAAGACCTATTCCAGCCCACTGACGGTATAATTGCACTAGTTTATTTTGGCCACTAGATGGCAAAACTGAACAAAAGGAAAAAAAAAAAAAGAAAAAAGAGGTGGGCACTCAAAAAAACAAAAGAAACCCAAAGAATGCTGAAAATGCCCCCGAGGAAGCACATTTCCTCTGTTGTTCTAAGTGCTAGTTGACATTTCCATGGTTCTCTGGCCATCAAAGTACAGACAAATCATTTTCTATCCTTGAAATTCTGAAGATGGCCTTTCCCTGCAAGTGTATTAAAAAGCTACCCCAAGAGTGAGATGCAAAGTGAGCTTGTCTTCCTGCCTCTAACAGGTACCTTCCTTTGTTGTGAAGTTTTCAATACTGAGCCATTGAGTCCCAGAGTGGATGAAGAGGGTGACAAGGGTTTATTGATAATAAGTTTGGGCTAAAATATGCACCACATCTTGTGAGAAGTGCTGACCCGTGGAGTCTGAGGATGAGTAGAATTAAGCATCTTATATTAGATGCCCCTTTTGGTTATATTTGGATATGATTTGGTGCTTGTGAGACTTGGGTTATGGCAAGAAGGGGACTGAGAAACGGAAAACATTTAGTCCTTGTTGTATGCTTCTATATAGTTTTGACCCTAAGGATTATTTCCTACCTCATTCATTCATGATGGATTCATTTTATTCAAGAAATAGCCCAGGCACCATATAGGAGATGGGAATAAACAGTAAATAAAGCAGAGTTCCAGAGCTTTATTTATTTTTTCTTTCTTTTTTTTTTTTGTACCAGGGATTGAACTAAGGGGCACTCAACCATGAACCATATCTCCATCCCTATTCTATGTTTTATTTAGAGACAAGGTCTCATTGAGTTGCTTAGCACCTCACTTTTTGCTGAGGCTGGCTTTGAACTTGAAATCCTTCTGCCTCAATCTCCTGAGCTGCTGTGAGTACAGGCGTGCATGACCACACCTGGCCTAATTTCATTTTTTTTTTTTTTTTTTTTTAGGGGCAAGATGATCACCCTAGGGAGCACCCATTGCCCATATATGGGTATAGGTGTGCTTCCACTGACAGCAGAATTCCATTAAAAATGTGTTGATTATGAAGAATAAGTCAAAATGGCAAACCTTCATGATAACAGCCAGGTCTATTTCTTATACAAATGAAAAAAAAAATATTGAAGATTAGCTGGAAAAGAAAGCAGCTTAACGGGAACCACTTTACAAAAATGTAAATCACCCAGGATCATGAGGATCTACTAACATGACTGGCATGTAAGGTGGAACAAATACACCCTTGTGAAAAGGCAGAGACAGGGGATGGGGATGTGGCTCAAGCGGTAGCGCGCTGGCCTGGCATGCGTGCGGCCCGGGGTTCGATCCTCAGCACCACATACAAACAAAGATGTTGTGTCCGCCGAAAAAAAAAAAAAAAAAAAAAAAAATTAAAAATTCTCTCTTTAAAAAAAAAAGAAAGAAAAGAAAAGGCAGAGACAGAACTGAGGTGAGAATCTTCTGGCACCTGGGATACTGTCATTTTGGGACGGGGTCAGTGAAGGATGTGCATCAGAGGCAGTGAGTTGGCAGGGTGGAGCTCAAGTTGGGATGGGTGAGGAATAATTGGGAGGCTGTGGAAAGTGTCTCAGTGAAGGGGGATGAGTTGAGAGGAGCAATGGCAGGTGGTGGTAGGAACAGATGGGAGACAGATTTCAGAGTAGGAAGGACCCCTCTTTATAAGGGGAAGAAGAATGTGGAAGGAACACCAGTTCCAGGGGCCTCTTCCCAGGCCTGAGTTCTTTCTTACATATTGCGTTGCTTTGTCATAGAATTGTAACAGGGGTTCACTTGATGCTTTGATGAGATTTTTTGTGGTTTTGAAACTTACATTTTTTTTCCTTTTTCCCAGTCTTCTTTTCCCCGACCTTCTCCCTGGTCTTCTTTTCCCTGATATTCTCCTGCCTGATCTCTTCCCTCATTTTCTCTGAATCACCTCTATAAAAATCCCCTGTGTTCCTGCTAATGGGAAGAATCACAGCCTTTGAGACAGGAGTTCCTGTGTTTCTCCTTTGCTAGCAAAGCAACAAACTTTTTCCTTTTTCTCAAAACCATGTCCTCGATATTGGATTGGCATCAGGGACAAGGACCAAGATTTCAGCAACAGAATTAGGATCCCACTTTAGCCTGACTCTTCCCCTTTATAGCAAAAGGAGGGAACTGAAACCCAGGAAATGGAAACCTTAGTCTGTAACCAAACTGCAAGGAAGTGAAGGAGCAAGAGTAGAAGCCAAGTCTCTCCCTTCCCTGATCTGACCCCATCCACAGATTCACTTCACCACAGGTGGGGGCACATCAAAACCACCTCAGGAGCCTTGTAAAGGTATGTGCTTGGCCTAAACCTGGCCCATACACAGGTCTAGCAAATCTGAATCCTTGGCCTGGGACTACTGGCTCAGTCCAGACAGGGTGAGTGTCTCTGAGGACAATTTTCCGTGGCACATTCTGCACATTCTGCCTGGGTCACATTTTCTCTGTTGCAATAATTGCCATTATCTACAACCACCAGTGATTGGAGAGACACTGAGTGCTCACTTGAAGATCCCTTTGCAAACAAACATCATAGTCCTTTCTTTTTTCTTTTTATTTTTTAGTTGTAGTTGGATACAATACCTTTATGTATTTATTTTTATGTGGTGCTGAGGATCGAGCCCAGGGCCTCGAACATGCTAGGCAAGCACTCTACTGCTGAGCCACAATCCCAGCCCCTCATAGTCCTTTCTTGTAGGCCCACTTAATAATGTGCACCATCTAAAGGAGAGGGAGGCCAATGGATGACTTCTCCCCAGTGAGGGTAGGCTAATGGATGGGAACTGCTCAATAACAGTTTCCAATCTAAGTTCTGTAAAACTGATAATCTCTTTATGAGCTGAAATTGTGGCTAAGTGGCACATGCGAGGCCCTTGGGTTCAATCCTCAGCACCACATAAAAATAAATAAATAAAGCAAAGGTATTGTGTCCAACTACAACTAAAAAAAATTTTTTTAAAAAAATCTCTTTATGAGTTTATTTTAGTAAAGTATGAAAAAGTAGAACTTTTAAAAATATCAAACACATATGAGCCTGGCACAGTAGCACCACCTGTAATTCCAGTGACTCTGGAGGCTAAGACAGGAGAATCTCAAGTTAAAGGCCAACCTCAGCAACTTTGTGAGACCCTATCTTAAAATAAAAAATAAAAAGGGCTGGGGATGAAGCTCAATGGTCGAGAGCCCCTGGATTCAACCCCTAGTGTCAAACAAAACAAAACAACAATACCCGTCCCATACATTTTAGTGTGGTTTTCTTAATCACAGTGTTTTTAGGAATATGACCCCCATAGTTAGGGAAGCAATACTTGCTTTTTAAACCATTTTTAAAATTATGAATGAAATTGAATTTTTCATGATCATTGTAAATTGATTATGTTCTATTATGAATTACAATGTCCATGCCTCACATGTATAAAATAAAGTAGAAATAGCTCTGGAGTGCTTGCTATGTGCTAGTTACTATTCTACCAGCTCCGCGTGTAGCAATTGTTAATCCTAACCCACTTCAAGGCCAAGGGCAATTATCAGTCTCATTGTATGGAGGAAATAGGATCATGGGGAGGTCAAATAACTTGTCCAAGGTCTTACCTGGAAAGTCTGGATTCACTGCCTGTGCTGCCAACATTTTTCTTCTTTATTGTCTTTCATTTTTTTCTATTAGGTATAAAAATTAAAACTTTTGTGGTCAGATTTATCAGTCTATTCCTTTGTTTTGTTGGCTCATTTTCTTCTTTTAGCCAACATAGAACATCTTATCTTTTTCAGAGATTAAAAAATATTTGGATTTTTTTGGGGTGTATTACATAAGAGGAGGATTTACATATATACGTATCTCCCAAAATAATCATTTCTCCTAAATAACTTGCTGAATAATATTTTTCTGTTGCAGGACTTAATAATAATGCCTTTGTGCCTAAATTTTAGGCTTGCTTACTTGATTTTTTAAAATATTTCTTCAGTTGTAAGTGGACACAATGCCTTTATATTTATTTATTTTTATGTGGTGCTGAGGATTGAACCTAATGCCTCCTCACCAGCGTTAGGCAAGCATTCTACCACTGAGCCACAACCTCAGCCCTAGGCTTGCTTACTTTTAATTTTATTTATTTATATGGAGGATTGAACCCAGGGTGCTTTACCACTGAGCCATATCCCCAACCTGATTTTTTTTTTTTTTTAAACTTGGAGACAGGATTCTAGATTTTTTCTCTCTCTCTCTCTGTTGTCTTATTTCTTCCTGTCTACTAACTATGCAATTGTCTTAGCCAGGGGTAGGTGTCCAGTGTGAGATCTTAGGTGGCAGCCAGAGCTTCTGCCCTGGGATTATCCTGGGGATGACTCAGTTACAACCCCAGGCCCTGAGAGGCTGAGTGAAGTCCAGGTGTAGGCCCTTTGGGTATGTGCAGGCCTCCCTAGACCACCTTCCCAAGCAAAGTCAGTCGTGACTTATTTTATTCAGCCGTCTCCCTTGAAGAGGTAGAGGGGTAAGGAAGAGGTGATTCTCAGCCCCTGATTTTTGAGTAGTGAACATGATGCTGGTCCTGGATCTCTTTGGGCAATATATTTCTTTCTCATTGCTTGACAGGATTTGAACTTCCAGCTACCCTTGGCTGGATCCAAAGTCCAGATACAGCTTTAACTTTGTTCATGTTCTCCATTCATATTCCATTCCTATGAATATTTTGTGGGGATATTACTTCTTTGTTAAACATGGCTTTTTAGTTTTCTCTAATATTGTGTCTATCATTGCTCTGTATTGGAAGCTCCTAGACTATCAATGCTGTTTCACTTGTGTATCTATTTTGCTATAACCATTAATTATTGTAGCTTACACTGTGTATTCTGGGACTACTCTAATGGTTTTCTCTAATCATGCTCTAATCACTTTCTCAAAGCTGGATCAGGCAGGAGAAAGCTCTATAGAAGTTACTGAAGTTGAGAACTGAAGAAGTGGTATAATGCTCCCTTCCACCGCCCACCACAGGTCATGTGAGAGGAGCCCCGAGGTGGCAGCACTAGGAGGGGATTCTGCTTCGGAGCTTCATGCCAACCTATCATCATGAACTCTCAAGCCAAGGTAGATCCAGCACCTGGAAGTGACCTGGTTTTTGCATGAATGTTTAGAAGTTATATGTGTGATAGGCTCCTCTCCCTCAGAAAACAGCAGTGCACTGGAAAATCAGCATGCATCCAAGGCAATGTGTAGTTATGTTTTTAGAGTAAATTGTCCAATGTCCACTTTGATCCAGTCAACAGTTGCTTCTAGATGAAGGCAGGGCACATGCATAGTCCCAGCTGACTCCCTTCTGTTGAACTAGGATATTTCTCAGTGGCACAGGCAAGGTACTATAGACAGGAACTGCATATGAAGCAGCATCTCCTTTAAAATACGCAGTTGTCATCTTTTATCCATTGGGGAAGACATTCCAGGACCCAATGGACCTCTGAAGGGTAACAAATGCCATATATATTTGTGTTTTGTATACTATACATATATACCTGTTATGAAATTTATTAGTTAAGCACAATAAAAAATAATAAAACAATTTTAACAACATACTGTAATAAAAGATACTTAAAACTTACAGATTTTTTTATTTCTGGGATTTTCTACTTAATATTTTTGGGCTGTGGTTGGCCATGGGTAACTGAAAATGTGAAATCAAAACTGGAGAAATGGGGCAAAGCCCTGTCCTGGGAGGCCTCTTTCTTCTTGGCTGTGAATTCAGGAGCATGAGCAGCAGCGTTCACCCTCACCCTGTGGCCCTGGCTCCCCTTTGCCAGGGGTGGGGCCTGTGGTCAACCCAGTGGGGTTGAGCAGCAGTGTTCTCCACCACCAGACACACTGGGCAACCCGCTCAGCCAGACTGTCTCCTGGGTGTCTGTGAAAGTTTGTCCCAGAAACCAGTTCTTCCTGGAACTGGGTGTCATTTCAGGACAGAGAATGCCAGGAGTGTAACTTGGCCCTGAAGTAAAGGATAGCCTTCCAATCTTGCATGAGATAGCAGATTGCTTGGGTTTTGGCTTGAGTTGGGGCTGGTAGTTCCTGGGGAAATTCGGGCAGCTCCACCAGGGGGAGCCTTTTCCATATCTTGGATTTATGGGGCTCCACTCAGCTTCTGAGTATGTGTGTGTGTGGTGTGCACATCTCAGTTTTTCTGTGATTACAGCACAGAAGCATGACTCAACTTTCCTAATTGATATATTCAACTTAATCTGCTGCCATGGCTTGGGTTCTAGCATGCTTCAGATTTACTTGTGACTGTGGTTATATGTAACATTGCAGCCACCCACAACAATGTGGGGTGGGGAGAAATGAGAGTGATAAACTTTCATTCCCCAAATGTCACTCAGTCGGTTTCATCTCATAACCAGGCCATGAGCTCATCCTGAAGTTGAGAGACCCATACAGTGGGGGAGGGGGGCATGGGAGGTGGATTGTGAGTGCTGGATGTCGGGATTAACTCCACTGCCCTCCAGTAGGATGGGAGAACTCAGACCAGCCACCAATTCCACATCCTGCTCTTGGCAGGTGCCCTAGAAATGTAGGTAACTCTGCCTGTGATGTACGGTTCTGGGCCTGCTCAGGGAAGATATGGTCTGGCTGAGCAGAGGGTGGCCACATATGAGGATGGAAGGAGCTGATCCAGGTATAGAAGAGCAGGGGAGGAAATTCAGGGGAAGAGGGCACCATGAGGGCTGCAGAGAGGCTGAGTGGTGAGGCAGGGTGGAGCGCCATGACAGTCTCATGCATCACCTTTTTCACTGGTTCCCTTAAAATGTGCCCCTCGCACAGCCTCTGCCACCCCTACCTGAGTCTCAATGCTGGGGGTGATGGTGTTAGAAGAAATCAAGACTGAGGAAATTTCAGGATGGTGGGGCTGAGAATTCCCTGGTGCAGGTTGAGAAAATGCTAAACTTTTCTAGAAAAAGTACAGTGTTCAACATAGTGCTGCTCATGTTGAGATGATACAAGAGTAAGAGATGGGAAGAGGAGGAATGAAGAGAGGTTATAGGGACTGTTGATCTTCTGTGGCACTTGTAGAGAGCTGAAGAGATAACAAGTTCTCTGGGATTTATTTATTTATTTATTTATTTATTTATTTATTTATTTATTTATTTTGGTACTGGGGATTGAACCCAGGGGTTCTTAGCCTCTGAGCAACATTCCTAGCCCTTTTTTATTTTGGGATAAGGTCTTGCTAAGTTGCTTAGGGCCTTGCTAAGTTTCTAAGACTGGCCTTGAACTTGCAATCCTGCCTCAGCCCCCTTAGTTGCTGGGATAATTGGTGTGTGTCACTGTGCCTAGCCTAGCTCTCAATCTTACGGGTTTAACAGCAATACCAGAAAATTAGGAGTTAAAAAGTGAGCCAGTCTTCAAGGCTGTAAACTAAGATAACATGCCAAGAGGTGGGAGGCTGAGAAATCAGCTCAACCTTTTGAGACTATGTGGTCAGCAGAAATGCCAAGAAGCTGGTGGCAGACAGGACAAGGTCACTAAAATCAGACCCACTGAGACAGGACAATAGTCTGCTCTGTTTTGAAAATAGCATTAGAGACTTTCCTAGATTATAAGGGGCAGGTTCCTGGTGAAGAGGGGCAAACACAGGCGTAGAAAAGTCATTAGTTACTTCTACCTTATTAGCTTAGTAAAATTCACACCCTGTTATAGTTTGGCCATGAAGTGTCCCCCAAAGACTTGATTCCTAAGGCAGCCATGTTCAGAAATGGGGGCTTTTAGGAGATGATTGAATTGTGAGAGCTGTAACCTCATCAGTGGATTAATCCATTTGATGGATTAAAATTTAAAAGGCTTATTGAGACATAATGGAAACTGGAAGAGGTGTGGCCTAGTTGAAGAACATAGGTCACTGTGGTCTAGCTCTGAAAGGGTATTTCTTGTCCCCAGCCCAGACTACTCTTTCTGCTTTCTGACTGCCATGACCTGGGCACCACACCCTTCTGCCCTGATGTTCTGCCTCATTCAGGCCCAGAACAATGGAGCCAGCAGACCGCGAACTGAAACCGTGAGCCAAAGTCAATCTTTCCTCCTTTAAATTGTTTATGTCAAGTATTTTGGTTACAGTGACGAAAAGCTGAGTAATGCACACCTCAAGGTGGAGACTTGAGATGGGAATGAGATGTGTATTGTGTAAAGAGATGTGACGAAGAAGAGAGCAGTGCAACTAAAATTCCCATCTCCATGTGACCACATCAAGAGATGGAGTCCCTGCTGGTCCTGTAGTTGCTAGAAAAGATGTACACCTTAGCAGGGCATGGTGGCACACGCCTGTAATCCCAGTGACTTGGGAGGTTGAGGCAAGAGGATCACAAGTTCAAAGCTAGCTTCAGCAATTTAGCAAGGCCCTAAGCAACTTAGCGAGACTCTGTCTCAAAATAAAACACAAAAGGGGCCAGGAATGTGGCTTAGTGGTTAAGCCCCGCTGGGTTCAATCCCCAGTATCAAAAAAAAGTATTCCTTTGTCCTTTGAGCCAGCCTGACCCTCTCCATTGGTGCTGTGTCTTCCTTCTGGTTCAAGCTAGTCCCCCTACCCACTGCCATGAAGCCTTGACTAGGCTTAAATTCTTTCTGGGTTCAGTTTTGTTTCTAATGTCTGGACCCAAGGATCTGAGTCTAGAAACAACAATGTAGAGACCTAAAGACCAAAGGACCCGTGGGATCCATGTATAGAGCTGACACCTCCTCCCCTACATCTAGATTCAACTTGGTCAGGAATAAAGATGACAAGGAGAACCCTCAAACACTGGGCACTTACTAGAGAGACTCTTTTAGATAGAAAAGAATGTTTAAAAGTTATTTGAAAGGCTGTGATTGTAGCTCAGTGGTGAGTGCTTGCTTAGCATGTGTGAGGCACTGGATTCGATCCTCAGCACTACATAAAAATAAATAAATAAAATAAAGGGATTGTGTCCATCTACAACTTTTTTTTTTTTTGATAGAAAAGAATGTTTAAAAGTTATTTGAAAGGCTGTGATTGTAGCTCAGTGCTGAGTGCTTGCTTAGCATGTGTGAGGCACTGGGTTCGATCCTCAGCACCACATAAAAATAAACAAAATAAAGACATGCTGTCCATCTACAACAAACAAAAAAATTTTTAAAAAGATGTGCATTTATATCTATATAAATATCTCTAGATATAAATGGATGTCCAATATCTCGTGTAGGTTCCTA